TCACCCACATCTATGGCAGGCATCCTCAGAGGTTGTGAAGTCTGTTGGAAACTAGGCAAATGAGGTTTATATATCTGAAATGTCCAGTGTGGGAGAAAAAACTCTTGTCTGCTTGAGACAAGTGTGAATGCTGCAATTGGACACCTTGATTATCATTGAATGGCCTTGCAGCTTCAAAGCCTGGCTGCTTCCTGCCCAGGAAAGACTGTACCACCATGTCAGACTACACAGAGAAGTCATTGAAATCCACAAGCATGTGGACAATTTCAACAGAAAGGAGAAAACCATGAAAATGAACAAAATTTGGTTACCAGAATTTTTAATTTTTTTAAAAAACAGTAAATAAAGAGCCAACTCTCAAAAAACAGGGGAATTGCAGACAGGAAACAATCAGGGCCAGCTAACACCTGCCAACCAAGGATTTCCCCAGGCAAGAAGCAGCCAGGCTTTCAAGCTGTAAGGCCATTCAGTTCTAATCAAGGTGGCTAATTGCAACATTCACACTTGGGTCAAATAGACCAGAGGTCTTTCTCCCACCCTGGACATTCCACAGATATACAATCCCACTTGCCTAGTTTTCAACAGACCTCACAACCTCTGAAAATGCCTGCTATAGATGTGGTTAAAACGTCAGAAGAGAATGCTTCTGGAACACATGGCCATACAGCCCAGAAAACTCACAGCAACCCAGTGATTCTGGCCATGAAAGCCTTCCACAACACATATGCAGCAAATGTTCATCCTTCCATGTTTTATATCTCAGTAACAGAAACTTTGGAATAGCCATTAGAAGTAAGTTTGATCACATAAACCATTCGCAAAAGCTCTGAAACAATAGAAATATACGCTTTGGATAACACTGATGAGTTCTTAGATTTGAGAATATCATGTAAGTGAAATATACTATGAAGGTGATATCTCCTGCCCATACATGCCCTCTCCCAACTGGGTGGTGAATCTGTGCTGGGTTTTGGCCTGAACTTTAAAGGAGCAATGCATTCAACTTAATTTTCAAGACAAGGTTTGGCACGTTGGATAGCTCCTTTAAGCTTTGGACTAAACTCACTCGGCATCCAATTGAATCTCCTATTCTCTGTATGTACACATGTATCCAGTATACGCATATGATTCCCTGCAGCTTATCAGTGTGATTTTTTTTCATGAAAATATAACTTTTCCTATGGAGCCCCCGATGGCGCATTGGGTTAAACCGCTGAGCTGCTGAACTTGCTGACTGAAAGGTTGGCGGTTCTAATCTGGGGAGTGGGGTGAGCTCCCACTGTTAGCCCCAGCTTCTACCAACCTAGCAGTTCAAAAACATGCAAATTTGAGTAGATCAATGGGTACCACTCTGGCGGGAAGGTAATGGTGCTCCATGCAATCATGCCAGCCACGTGAATTTGGAGGTGTCTATAGACAACGCCGGCTCTTCGGCTTAGAAATGGAAATGAGCCACCACCACCCCAAGTTGGACATGACAAGACTTAATGTTAGGGGAAGCCTTTACCTATAACCTTTCCTAAGCTGAAGTTAATGGGTTTTTAAGGGATCGACTTGTGTGTCAGATTTCAGCCATTACGCTGTATGACATTCTGTGGCATATTTATCTTTAAGTAAGCTTTCTTTGAGTAAGAGAAACAAACATTGAACCCTTGTTCTTTCTTTTTTAAAAAAACAAAAAACCTTGAACACTTTTCAGAACCAGGAGCAGCTTAGAGAGGAAGATTCTGACTTTATCCTGAATGATAGTGACCTGTCGTTGACATACGGAGACACAACCATCACTGCTAATGGATCCTCTGGCTCCCATGCGGCTATTACCAGCATTGATGGCCAGAAAAGCAAAAGCAATTCGGAAGAGGCTTTGGAGCATGATCTGGGAACAGAAGCACCTGAGGTGATGAGCAGAGGCACTCGGCTAGTATTTCCACTGGATGCATGATGACCTGCTTAATAAAAACGTAGCAATAGGCCCACTGCCCAAGTATCCAAGATGTTTGCTGACTCCAGTGTCAGTGAAGGAGGTCAACGGGTTAATTTAATGTCTCTTGTTCAAGTGGTTTTATTAGGTCGGGAGATGCAATCCCCTCATCTCAATATCCCTGTGTTTAGTTTTAAAATTTTCAAGATGCTGGCAGTGTCTAAGCCAATCAAGCAACCAAAAAAATTGGCCAGGCACTTGCTTTAAAGCAATTACATACTTGAAATTAAAAGCAGCATGTTGTAATCATTTTCATTCTGCTGCTCCACTCAGCTGATGAGAAGAGTAGGAATATTTATCATAATTAATGGCTGGAGTAATTAGCTGATGTGGCTAACAGAATTCAGGACCACCGCAAGCTTTTCAACCTGGAAACATGGGGAGAATTATGTTGTTGATGTTAGACATCAGTGCAATGTTTGACATATACTTGAAAAATGCAATGCAAAAGAGGACATTATGTACAGTGATCACATTGTCAGAAACAGTTTGTTTTTTGGGAGTTGTTATTGGAAACCCCTCACAACCTCCATGTAATTCCAAGGGATATAACAAGAAACCCTCCATGTTAGCAATGTTTTATATTAATTTATTATTGTGGTCTAAAAAGGGAAAGGAAGAAGAACCTCTGGACACTGTATTGAGAATATCTGTAAGTCTTGTAACTGTATCGCAAAGTCCATCTGTGTGCTGTCCAAATTTTACATTTTCTGCCTCATGCCCCTATTACATATGAGTTCTGTAGCTAAACTCTTAAGATTAACCAGAGGGAAATCATCACTCACCCCGTCACAATTTTAGAATGACCGTCCTCTCCTCCAACTGTGAAGACAGTGTTGAATGATTGCAATGTAGTTGCAGACTTATAAGTTGCACAAGAAGTATTGAGGGAACTTGGTTCAGGTTCCTGAAGTGTGTCTGGACTTAAAACTGTTACCTTTAAACCCAGGTGATGACCTATGATAAGTGGAGTACTTAATCTGATGCTTGTATCAGAACAAAAAATATGTTTTTTTTACTCTGTTAATAAGTCTGTGTGTGTTTGTGTGTGCGTGTGTGTTAGTGGAATATTGCACTATGAACCTGATGTTTAAAATTGGTGCGGTGCCTTTTCTGTAATAAGGAGTACCATTCTGCAATCTGAAAAAGGAATATTTTGCCTGGAGCAGGGCTGGAGAATTGGTGACCCTTCAGATGTCACTCTTCCAGTCCCAACGATCTAATTGTGATGATGAGAGTAGTGGTTCATCATCCTCTGGAGGGGTTCAAGCCCTAGTGATCAGGGATGCTCATTTACAAATATGCCATAAGCGGTCCTAATTGTGAATGGCTGGCTTCCATGATGCAGTCAGGTAACTCTCTCAAGTTTTCCTCAACAATAATTTTGGCTGCTAAAAGCAGGATAATGAACAATGTAATGGTCTGACTCTTAATGGATAATTCTTTGTAAACCAGCTGCCCTGTAATTTTGAACATAACGGAAGTGCTTAGAAAAATAAATATGTTTTTTCTCATACTTTTCCCTCCTTCCATGCCACCATTTTTAGACTTTATTTTAATCTGTCTGTGATGAAGAAATGAAATTTGAACCAATGTATGTAATAAAGTTCATTGTTTCCTCTTCTGCTTTTTAAAATTTGTGTTTACCCTTATTAATGTTCAGTTGACAAAATCACTCAGAATAGTTTTTAATAGCATTTATAAGCTTGGAAACTAAGCAGAGTCAGGGCTGGTTAACAACTGGAAGGGAAACTGCAAGGGAATACTGGGTGCTATAATCTGTGTTCAGGAAAAGGACACAGCAGACATCTTCCGGAAAGAAATTGCCAAGAAAGTCTTAGTATGGCGTTACTGTACTACTAAATACTGTAAAGGGACTCAATCCTGTCTGATTTTGTAAGCTAAGCAAGATACTAAGATTGTACATTGCCAACCAGTATCAGATCCTGTAGGCTGTCACTCAGAGAAGAGAGGAGAAAACGCCTCCATAGATGCAGGTGAAATGTCAAGAGAGAATACTTCTTGAACATGGCCATACAGCCTGAAATCCTACAACAACCCAGTGATTCCAGCCATGAAAGCCTTCGACAACACAGGAGAAAACAGCTTCAAGTATTCCTGGTGTAAGAAAACCTCGTGACATTCGTGGAATTCCCCATAAGTTGACAAGCTACTTGAAAGCATATATGCATGGTGTTAGGGTTGACTTAAAGAACATGGCAAGATACTGCAAGTTTAATTGTATTTGAGTTTAGAATTCAAAGCACCAGTGGAGGGGAAACTACGGCCCACAGGTCAAGAGGCTTTTATACCCTTCAGCTTGCTCTACAGCAGTGGTTCCCAACTTGTGGTCCATGAACCATCAGTGGTCTGCAAGAACTAAAATATGGTCCACAGCCTCATCGTTACTACACCGTTGCAACAAGAGCAACTGGATTCGCAAAATCCTCTTATAGTGCTAAGGTTTATTAAATATGGTTTTCTATGGGTAAGCGAAGGGCGACTACTGGATGGCATATGTTCTGTAATAGAAACTAGAACAATACAATTTTCTGTCTCAGTATGATTCCATCCAATAGATTAACATGCTTCGTCGATTAAAAGAGGTACATAAAATTTACTATATTTGTTTTTATAATCAAATCCCCAGTTCCAAAGAAAATTAGGGCACAATCCCTATACCTGCAGAACTTGAAACTGAGGATACCTACATGTATCTAACAGAATATGTCCTCTCTAGGAATTGTCTAGGTCCTCCAGATGACTTTATGGTATGCTTCCATTGCTAGTTTAAGGGACGTGTTACAGGACCTAGCAAATTCCCAGTCATCTTCCTGAATTCAGTATGTCCCAATTACTCTAAGTTATGGTTCATTAATGATAATTTTAAATATAATTTATTCCCTTTGCTGTTCATGTCAATATTAACGGCATTTATTTGCATGTATGGATCCTATAATGTCTGGAATCTTAGCACCAAAAATCCCTTTAAAGTCAAAAATAAATTTCATGAAGAATATTCTGTTTTGACAGCTTGGTTAAAGCCCAAAGTTTTATTTTGAAAACAGATATCGTTCAACAAAAATCTCTCTCTTGTTTTCAGATCATCTGTGGTCTTCACTTGTTGATTCATTCACAACACCCATTTGCTGTCTTGTTTGTAAACTTATAAGAAAAGCAGAAAGGCAAAGATAAGGAGGGAAAGAAGGACAAGTATACTTTTTAAAAATATATAAAATTGGATCTGCGGTTGGAATGACCAAGTAGTTGCTGCCATTTCAACAATTTAGTGAGAACAAGCTAGTGAACATGCTGGCTCTCAATCTAAGTATTGTGTTGAAGTCTTCTTTCTGTGAAATGTACGGTGTGCCTAATGATTCTAAGTGCAATATAAGACGTCCTAATCAAAACACCACTCTTGTGTATCCATTGACATGGCAGGCCATTGTTCAATAAAAATAAGTCTTTTCATCAGCAGCAGAATGTGAAACCGAACATACACTGACATGATGAAATTGAGAGAAGAAGTGATCACAAGTAGTGCCCACAGTTACAATGTATCATGTGACTTTCCTTTCAGGAAGTTGTTTTTACACTGAAATTCATTTCCATGAAGCTAGTCAGAAGTCATTTTGCCATGCAGAACCTGCAGTAGTTGCAATTTACCGAGGGCTCCAATGTCTCTGCAATGCATGGTTGCTCTTCCATCTCCTCTGTCACAAGTTTGCTGCTGGTCGATTAACCTGTCAAAAAAAGTTGAGAATTTAGACTTTAACCAGGTACATGAATTTGCCTCCCCAATGAAAGAGCATCATTGTGTAGTGGTTTGAGCAGTGGGCCATGGCTTTCGAGACCAGGGTTTAATTCCCCACTTGGCTATGGGGACCACTGGGTGACTTGGTGATAGTCTTGTCATAGCCACACACTCTCAGCCCTAGAAAACCCCATGATAGGTTCACCTTAGAATCACCGTAAGTCAGAAAGCCATGGGCCTTGTTGTGTAGTGGTTTAAGCACTGGGCCATGGACCTCAAGAACAGGGTTTAATTCCCCACTTGGCTATGGAGACCATTAGGTGACCTTGTGATAGCCACACACTCTCAGCCCTAATTTTGCAAATAAAATTAAATGTGGGTTCAGTTCAAAAATCCCAAGCAAAGCAGAAACCCCATCCCTTCTTTTTTTTCAATGTTGTTAATGAAAAATATACAACATTATGAATGAGAAATGTTGTATGGGAAATCCCTGTATTAGTGGAGAGAGAGAAAAAGCAGAATTAAGACTGAAGCCTTTTCCCCCCATGTTATCTGGCAGTGCGAAATACAAGTGTTATGTGGTGCTATGGAATGTATATTAACACTAGCTGAAACCAGTTGTCTGTTCACACAGACTAAGGTAAACAAGGCTAGAAAATAAAACCATTTTTACAATTTTTTTTCATTTCATAGAATCATAGAGTTGGAAGAGACCTCATGGGCCATCCAATCCAACCCCATTCTGCCAAGAAGCAGGAAAATAGCATTCAAAGCACTCCTGACAGATGGCCATCCAGCCTCTGCTTAAAAAGCCTCCAAAGAAGGATCCTCCATCACACTCAGGGCAGAGAGTTCCACTGCTGAACAGTTCTCACAGTCAGGAAGTTCTTCCTAATGTTCAAGTGGAATCTCCTTTCCTGTAGTTTGAAGCCATTGTTCCACGTCCTAGTCTCCAGGGCAGCAGAAAACAAGCTTGCTCCCTCCTCCCTCTGACTTCCCTCACATATTTAAACATGGCCATCATGTCTCCTCTCAGTCTTCTCTTCTGAAGGCTAATAAGCCGCTCCTCATAGGGCTTGTTCTCCAGACCCTTGACTGTTTTAGTCACCCTCCTCTGGACACATTCCAGCTTGTCAACATCTCCCTTAAATTGTGGTGCCCAGAATTGGACACAGTATTCCAGATATGGTCTGACCAAGGCAGAATAGAGGGGTAGGTTGACTGCCCTGGATCTGGACACTATATTAGATCCAGGGAAGCCATGCTACTCCTCTATTCTGCCTTGATTAGACCACATCTGGAATATTGTGTCCAATTCTTGGCACCACAATTTGAACTAAGTGCCCATTGACAAAGAATAAGTGTTTCAACCCAGGAAGCACTTTGTTCAGATTAGATTTTGTTAATTCAGAAGCTCTTCTATAAAAAATGGCTAGTAATACTAAAAAACAAAACAAAAACAAAACAAAAAAAAACCAGCCACTGTGAAAAGCCTGTGACAGAAGTCAGAGCAGTCCAGGTATATGTAACGGTTCCCTTTTTAAACCACGGATAAAAGAAAAAAGCTTATCTTTCAGAAGCACAGATTGAACTTTCCCTTTCTCCAAATATAGCCTAGTCCTCAGCTGACCCCAGGCATGAAACGCCCTCTAGCCTCTAATATTGGGATAATCTATGGCTCTCCGGCTGTCTGTTGGACTCCTGATGAAATCTATCATCCACAACATCTGGGGAGCCATATGTTCTCTGCCCTCATTGTAGTGGAAATCTTGATTAGGATAAAATTACTCCGCATGACAGACAGTCAAAATAAAACAAAAGTTAGCATAATTTATGAAAGCAGCCTAACACTGATCAACAAGAGAAACCTGTTTCCAACAAACAATATTTTGTTAGACTTTCCTAGTAAAGTAGTTTGCATGACTACTATTTTCTCTTTAGTCACAACTACTTAAAATAAAGTACGAGGGTTATCCGGAAACTAAGGTTACAATATTTTTTTAAATATAAAGAATGAATATATTTTAATAAAAATTACATGGATTGTAACATAGATTATTTTTCTACATAATCACCATTCAGTTCAATACATTGTGTCATCCATGGGATGAGTTTTTGATGTCTGTGTCATAGAAGTTTCCCTCCACCTTTTTCAGCCAGTTCATCACTTTGATTTCCACCTCGTCATTGTCAGAAAAGTGTTTTCTGCCCAGGTGTTCCTTCAATTTTGTGAACAGATGATAGTCACTAGGTGTGAACTCAGGGCTGTGAGAGGGGTGGCTTAAAACATCCCAGCCAAATGAAGTCAACAACTATTGTGTTGCATGAGCGGTGTGCAGACGCGCATTGCCATGAAGGAGACAGACTTCCACCATCAGCATCCCACGATGTTTGTTTTAGATGGCTCTGCGAAATTTCTTCATGGCCTCACAATATATTCCATACCCCTTGTGTCACATGCTGTCTTGACATCACATCCTCTCCATAAACTGAAACGATTTTGTGATGAATTGCAGCAGTGTTCATGCCCTTAGCATTTAGGTAGCATATTACGGTGTGAACATCGCACTTGGAGAGAAACAGAATGAGGACACTCATCTTTAACCTTCACTACAACACCAGTTGATGAGCTACTGATGACTGGCACTGCTCATTCATTTCCACTGGCTTCCCGTTACATGGCAGTGATACCAACTTCCCCCAAGAAAATTCCCCGTAAGAGCTACATGCCTTGTAACCTTATTTTCTGGATGACGGTTGTACTTATAATTTCCATTATATTTATAATGGGGTTTAGCAATGTCTAAACTGCTCTAGAAACATTACAATGAAGGTTTCAGATAAGAAGAAACAGCTATATAAAAAGTGATGTCTTTAACCAAGGAGCGTTTCCAAATAGTGTGACTGGCATGTTATCCTGGCTTGAAATAGTCTCACTGCCTCATCCAAAGAACCGGAGTAAGACAAGGGCCTGTGCGTTCTTATCTTGTGATCTGAGACACAGGCATCCACTGAAGTTCTTAATTAAAGACAACACTTTTCTAAGGCTTCTATTTCAGGGAATTCTATACTGTGAAAACAAGTATTATGTGAGACTGAAAAACACAGAACCAGATGTAATCTAACCACAAAGATGTAAATATTTGACTTAGTTCAATCAAGACATCTAAAGGTGAAAAGGATAATACTTAAATTTAGTTGAGGAAAACTATTTCAAATAGAAACAGTATTTGAGAAAAACATGTTTGATTTTGGGCTATGGTTACTGTGAGACACAAAGGAATTAATGAAATTACAGGTAAATTTCCTTCATATTTTCCAGGTCACATATTGTATTAAAGGGGGGGGGGGGATCCTTTTAAAGATTCATTTCATACCAGTTATGATGGGTACTGTATTTCACATTAATTGTGCAAAGTATATCTCTGTCAGTTTGCAATTAAAAATGGGTTCACTTAAGTTCTGTTTCAACAGAATCAGGAAAAGGAAGACCTCAGAGAGCATTCTTCGTGCTACTGGGGAATATCAGAAAACTGATTTATACTGAATCATACTGGTTGCTCATCTAGTCCAGGGTGGTTGAAAATGACTAACAGCCACAAGTTTCAAGCTGCTCACCTTTACCTGGGCATTGCCATCTACACTGAATGATTACCAGTCTTTTGATCTCAATTACTTAAATTTACATATTCTCAGTTTGTGCCTTTAATATTAAGTTGAAATCTTACGCATATGAAAGATCTCAGTTGTGGTATTTTTGCTGATCTTCTAGCTTCCTGCCTTTTGGCAGATGAGACAGAATATTTTATTCCAGTGAGGCGTCTCCCTTGTTCCAATCCCTAATTTTTTGTCTAACTATAGATTGTTTATATTTTGTTAATTGTATCTCATGATTTTAATTGCTTTACTGAGGGCTACCTTGGATATAGTTATGCAGGAAAATATGATAAAACAATTCAAAATACATAAAAGAAAAAAATCACCTTAAATATATGCATGGTTAACTTTTTATAGAAACAAAGAAAAAATATTTATAGTCAAGGAAGCCATAATGTTAAAAGCAGAGGTCTAAGGATACCATTCTACAGACTGAACACTAAATATGTTTGTATTTAGTAAAGTAGCCAGACACCCTCCAAACCAGACCTTCCCAGATATTTCATGTTGATGACACACTTTTTAAACATGCATCATTTTGCAACACAGTAATTCAGTTTTATTAGCAAACCAGAGGTTAAACCAGGCATGGGCAAATCTCGGCCCTCCAGGTGTTTTGGTCAACTTCCACCATTCCCAACAGCCTCAGGCTCCTTCCTTTCCTCCCTCAGCCACTTAAGTAGGAAAGGGAAAAGGAAAAGGAAGGGGCCTGAGGCTATTAGGAATGGTAGAAGTTGACATCCAAAACACCAGGAGGGCCCAAGTTTGCCCATGCCTGGGCTAACCAAACCAGCCTTCCTCTTTGCTCCTCTCCCTTATGCAAGCTTTCAGTGACACTCAAAGTTGAGCATAATTCTTCCCCATACCCCTTCATATTGTGGCTGTTCTGCGTCTGTAAGTCTTAATAATTGCCTCCGTTCTCTTTCAGCAAGACACCTTTCATCCTTTGCACTGTGTTACATTGTGGAGGGGGAGGTAGCACAATGCAGTAGCATTGAGTGACATTGCCAAATATCCATTCCCACTGAAGCGGGAAAGGGAAAAGGAAAAGGAAGAGGCCTGAGGCTATTAAGAATTGGAGGAGTTGAAGTCCAAAACACATGGAGGGCTGATGTTGCCCATTCCGGGGTTAAACCAACCCCTTATAAGAGATACAGATAAATTATAATAATGAAATGTATGGGAACACAACAAATCTCATGAAACCTTTCATTTAGATTGTAAAAAAATATATATGATTCATAAGATTAATACATACATTTCCAAGATTTTTGTCATTTCTTGTTACGTTTGAATGACACGCTACACCCCTGACACACTACAACACACAAA